GATGATCGTCTCAGGCCAGTTTGCAAGTTTCATCCCAGAGATCACAGACATCCTGGGCAGCAGGAGCAAGTACGGAGGATCATTCAAAAAAGAACATGGCAAAAGGTTTCTTTTTATAAATTCAACTCTCACGCCATTAGCTTATATGTAGAACATTTAACATTGAAATAATGTTTTTTTCATTATGTTTTTTAAAAGTTTTTTAATTCGCAAATAGAGAAGTTAACACGTTTTTGACAGCACATTCACAGCAACGTGACAGCATCTTTAATTTAGTCAAGTGAGAACAAAAAATATTCCAGTGAGAACGAAAAATAGGAAACTGGTTTTTGAAATTACCGATCTTTTTAATACGTTCGAAATTATGCACGAAAGATGTCGGAAATGTTGAGCAATATTTAGAAATTTGAATAATATCATTTTCATATTGTCTGTATATAACAAAAATATTTGTTCACACAGAACATAGAATAAATATGCGTTTATCACGTATTCAGTTAAATTTTTAGTCTTGAATAAAATTGTCTGTATTCTAAAATTAAAACGTGACTATTTTGCAAAAATAAAAATCCTTTTCTTAGCAGAAATTAATTTTAAAGAGCACAAATTTGAACTCTTGGGGAAATTATGGGAATTTTCTCGTGTTCAAGTGAGATGTCCTGAATACAAATTGCTGAAAGTCTATCGTTAAATATCAAACTCAACGTGGTAAATGAGAGGAGGCTGGCGCGAAATAGCTATGACTTGAAAGCCACGCTTTATCTTTTTCTATTTCATAAATGTTGCTAAACGCTTTACGAAATATATAGCAAACTGGCTCATAAAGCATTCTTGCTGGCGTTAAAAAACCGTGAATACTGCATACTTCACTGCATTACAAGCATGTGATATTCTTATTTCTCACATCAACTTGCATTGAATTATACTTTTGAAATATTTGTCCGAAAAACCCAGTTTTACAGATGCGATTATTTTGTATGCTGAAGATTCTTATAAGATCCAGAAGCAAAAAACATAGGATTTAATGAAAAAAATAGAGCAGTAATTTTTCAGCAATAATCCAACATTTTTAAGGTCGATCACAAAATAATAAGTATTGCATTTTGCTGAAATTTAACAAAAAAAATCAATTTCCTTCAAGTAAAACTTTCAACATATGCGAGTTTTGCCAGACGTTGAGTTAAGTTTGACATGTTTTGTTCATTATCAAACAAAATCAATGCCACAAACACAAATTTTACCGACTATATTTTGCGATAAGTGTAGGGCATGAAAAGTTATATAATATTTATGATACGTTGCGAATCTGAAACAGACACATTGTACTGTGCGGCCACATAACTTACGAATCTGTCTCCAACTTCATGTCGGACTTCCTTCACAAAGACCGAGAGGACGTTGACGTTGAATTAGTTATCATGAACAGGTTATTTATCACGGCTGTTATTTTTTATTTTGATTGTAAATCATTTCAAACTACGTGTTATGATTTTTGTTTCGATTCAATACATTTGTGAATTTGTCCTGCGATATCACTCTTTTAAACATCGGCAGGCACCCACGCACACAATCGGAGAGTCACATCACACACGTACTGTTACATACACGTACACAGCCATTATTAATTATTTTATTTATTTGCTTATTGCTTGTTTGTTTGTTTGTTTGTTTGTTTGTTTGTTTGTTTGTTTGTTTGTTTGTTTGTTTGTTTGTTTGTTTGTTTGTTTGTTTGTTTGTTTGTTTGTTTGTTTGTTTGTTTGTTTGTTTGTTTGTTTGTTTGTTTGTTTGTTTGCTTGCTTGCTTGTTTGTTTGTTTGTTTGCTTGTTTGTTTGTTTGCTTGCAAAGAATCTTACAATTGATTTTCCAACAGACTTTCACTGCCGGATTAAACTGCAATTTGGTACCATTAGAAATGCAGCTGATTTAATCAAAAAATTTAATTTAATTAATAAAATAAATTAATGCCTGCTCTGGTGGCAAATAGAGTATTGTTATACGCTGTGTAGTTTTAAAAATTGATTGACAGTGAGTTTTATTATCAGATTTTGTGGAGGCACTCTTTTTAACGTGTTTTTGAATTATTAACAACTAGCCAGTAAACAAATACTTAATTGTATTCATTTATTTTCATATATGAACGTCTTTTTCAAAGAAATCTTCAGATCATGTAATGTTTTTTTTTATTGAAAAGAAGATCACAATGTGTTTGTTATTAAAAATATCAAATAACAAAAACATTAAAAACATTAATAAATATAAATTGCTTCCAACACTTTTAGGAAGGAACCAGATCTAGAACTGGAAGGCCTTTTCAAACGACATTTCACACAGGTCAAATTTTTTCAAGGAACTGTGATGGACGCTAATGACTTGCACAGGACTAACGTCAGTGCGCTTTGCTCACTCATCTATATTCTAATTTTTTCTATTCTAATTTCTACTCTTTCTTATTTTCAAAACTTTAATTTACTTTCAATTAAATTTTTATTTTTTTTCAGTTTTTCAATTATAAAGTTTCAATATATTTCAAAAGAGGCAAACCATTTAAACGTTTGAGAACGCAAAAAAATGAATGTTGATAAGGTGAAAGAAGCAGACGCCTGTTTGGTTCTGGCTAACAAGTACTGCGAGGACCCTGACGCCGAAGATGCCGCCAACATTCTGCGAGTCATTTCGATAAAGAACTATCATGATGACATCAAAGTTATCGTTCAGCTGCTTCAGTACCACAACAAAGTGAAGTTTGCTCTTCGTTCGTATTTTTTGTTTGTCGTATTCAGTTTGAGGATGAGCATCGAAGTAGTAAAATGGGAATAGCTATGAGAATTCTTGATGAAACGAATTAAACTAATTTAACTAATGTCCTTTCATCTAGATAGATTAGATTAAATTAGTTCGAAGTTGAATGAAATATTTTTCTATTTTGTAAAAATTTTAAACAAAATGGGATTGGTCCAATAGGATACGATAATGATCAACGGTATAAACAATTTTTTAGCCCAATGGCAAAGTTTTTAAAAAATGTAATTTAGACATTTTTATTTATGACAGGTTATTCTTTAAACACGTTGCGACTTGTCACATCATATAAATTACTACCTACATTTTCAGAGTGTAGCTGCAAAATTTAATGTTCGACATCTCCAATATGCAATGTCTTTTCATCTAGTTATATTAGATTAAATTAGTTTCGAAGATTTAAAAAACATGCACTGTCCAAATGATTGTGCCATTAAAAAAATTAGCTAGGTATTTCGTAATTGGGAAAATGTATAAAAATAAAAATATAGTTAAATTTTCAAAATGATTAATAATATTAACAATATCAAATGCCATTTTTTGTGTAGCCCGCTTGCAAAAATTTTATCATAAAAACCAATTATGAATAACAACAACACTGCAGTCCTACCTGCTGAACATTCCAAGTTGGGATTTGAAGAGAGGGGACGACGCCGTCTGCCTGGCAGAACTCAAGTTGGGTTTCATCGCTCAGAGCTGCCTGGCACCTGGCTTCTCAACGCTGATGGCCAATCTATTCACAATGAGGTCCTACAATCCGGTATGTTGTAGTTGTGATTTGTGTTGTTGTTGTTGTGTTTGTTGTTGTTGTTGCTGCTGCTGTTGCTGTTTTTGTTGTTGTTGTTGTTGTTGTTGTTGTTGTTGTTGTTGTTGTTGTTGTTGTTGTTGTTGTGATGTTTGTTGTTGTTGTGATGTTTGTTGTTGGGATGTGTGATGGTGTTGGTTGGTGTTGTATGTAGAGTTTATATAAAGCTCTAATTCACTGCCTTCTCACAGTCTTTGAGATTTGCACGAGCAACATTCGAGCCATGCCAGCTAGCAACGACAATAATGCAAATCTTGTCAACAACCTTATTTTTTTTAAATGGGCATCCGATTTAGTTAATTAAAAAATTTTTTTAATTTATGCTTCGATCAGGAGAGTGTGGTTAGTATCTTTGAAAATATTTGTTACAAAACGTAATACATTAAATTGTAAACGATAATTTACAATTTATAAATCATTTTTTTAGTTTTATTCCAGTAGACAAAAAAATTTCAATCCAAAAATGTGTAATATTCATTCTTAAATATCTTAAACATGATGTATATAAAACAAACTTTTCTCAACTATGCAGCCAAACTTATCTGAAGAAATCCTTTAAATAATCTTTAATAATCATTGTGATGTCGTTTCGAGTGAAATAAATATTGGAACAAAATGTGGAAACCTAAAACTTTTTGGCGAAAATCCGTTAATTGATTGAGTGATCGATTTTTTAAAATTGTTACTTAAATTTATTACAATTGGTTATAATTGCTTACAAAAGCGTTCTTGTTAGCTACTACGGAAGGGAAATGATTAAAACTGAATTATTAAACATTTCAACATCATGAGTTCAGTCTCCAAGCATGCCTCGCTGGCAGAATGATTACATGAGAGGAACAGGCATGGAAATGTATACTGAATATTTCTCCAATGCGTTCCATGGCATGGCTTTCCCAGACGCAGCAGAGTTAGTTAATTAATTGGATGGATGATTGTTTGGTTGATTGATTGGTTGGTTGGTTGGTTGGTTGATTGGTTGGTTTGTTGACTGACTGACTGACCGACCGACCGATCTCAATCGATCGATCGATCGATCGATCGATCGATCGATTGATTGATTGATTGATTGATTGATTGATTGATTGATTGATTGATTGATTGATTGATTGATTGATTGATTGATTGATTGATTGATTGATTGATTGATTGATTGATTGATTGATTGATTGATTTAAATTTGAATGATTGTGTTGAAGATTCGTAATTTATTAATTTGCATACTAATATATTTAATGCTGGTTTGATACCAGGCTTTAAAAAACAAAAACTCTATTGTCAAACTCTGCAGATTGTGTTTTGTGAAGTTGAATCTTCTGTTGATTGCACTGGAGGTGAGGAGTGATAGTGACAGCGAATCGGAGATAGCCATCAATCCTGGCTGTGAAATAAAAATCGACATCAACACCAGAGGATTCTTCATCGCAGAATCTGCAGACGACGTGAAGAGGTAAGCAATCATGTTAACCAGCAATAGTGAAGAATCAATACCAAGTATATCTTATAAGTACTCTTATACCTAGGTACCAGAATCTGCATGCGAGGTTTCGATTCATCTGTTGATTTCCATTTCCGTTTAAGCAACCCATCTTCCAAACACAAAGAATCCCACTGAGCCCAGTAGTTTTTTTACGACAAACTAAACTCAAATATGTTTTGCCATTCAGGTCGCTGGCCTGATTTCTTTCAAGCAAATTACATATTGTAATGCAGACTGTGCGCTTGCCAGTTCTTCCGATGTTCATCCTGTATCTGGTGTTATCAAAATTTTTTGTACCTTTTCTGTTTAAACTTTGTCTCCCAGTCGACTGCAGTATTTGCAACCTGGTAAGCATGGCCGACGAGAAAGAGCATCGGCATTTTTGTGGAGGTTCCTTTACGGTGCATAATTTCAAAGTCGTACAATTGTAATCGTCCAACCATTGTGCCACCTATCCTACTGGATCTTTGAAATTGAGCAACCACTTTAACGCTGCATGATCCGCTCGATAAAAAAGTGTTTGTCCGTAGAGGTACTTGTGGAAATGTTATATTGCCGTGACCTTCGCTAGCAACTCTTTCTTGGTAACGCAGTCAGGCTTTGTAAAACATTTTCTTCTCCGTCAATGTGTTGTGATGAATCCGCTTCACTTCCACAGCTACTTGCATCCGTATCCAACAAAAATGGTTTATCTCGGATTGGATATGCTAACAAAGTGGCACGACATAATTCTTTGTTAGTCGCTCCAAAGATGCTTCACACAACTCAATCCAATTAAACGCTAAACACAATTAAGCTAAACTTTCAATGAAAAATATATTTGCAATAATGATGAAAAAATTATGATGAGAATGATTCTATGAACCTAATTTAACTTATGTTGTTTACAGAGCTTTATTTTTTTGCAAGCCGTGCCACGGAGAAGTGCCAGACATCAAACTCGTCAAGAAATGTAGATGCAGGAGAAGTTAGGAGTCATTCATCATTCTTTTTTTAAACTTTTCATCTAAAATTTAATTTAAAAACTTCAAATTATTAATGTATTAATTTTTTTAACGTGACTCATCATTCCCAGCTACGGTTGCTCCAGTTTACTTAAAAACTGAAATTGTGAAAAAGAAGTTAACGGCTCACAAGAATAAACATTTAGTAACTGCCAATTCCAAGTACGTATTCAAAATAGCAATCCAGTGAAACATATTGTCATCTCGGAAGTTTTACTAAATATTAATGAAAAATGATTAGATTAAATATTACTTTTTTGAATATTTAAAAACCTAACAAATTTTTCAACAAAGGTCAAGTTTGTTGAGTTCACCGAAACAGTCAGCAACAGACCGCCATTGTGAAAATAATGTCATCAAGTTGGTTTACATTTATACGCTCTTGTTTGTGTAATATTAATTTGGTTGAAGTTTCATCAAAAAGCTGTTGTATGACGATCGGTATTTTATTGATTGGCTTGATAGAATAAAATTGACAACAACTGATTTTTATTGGCAGGAGACATGCTCGATTCCATCTGAACAACTCAGCCGACCAACCTCTGCAGACAATTCCGCACACTGTTGTACCATCAACGAACAGCACTAGTGACTATTTAAGGTCGAGATCAGATGACCCAGAGTTAGATATTGATCACAAGGACAGAAGGAAGTTTGATTCGACGGGCATGTTTCACTGGTGTCCATCACAGACGCTTTCCAATTGCATCATAGTATCCTTGATTTCATTTTATTCAGTTATAATTATGTCAAGTAACAAGTCTTTGTTAATAGATTAAAACTAATTATTGTTAAATAAAAAATTGAATCAGAGTCGTGAGAAAGCCGCTATGACAGTTTTGTCGAACCACGTCATTGTGTGTCTGTTTGCTGACGCCCACTCAGCTCTCATCGGTTTGAGAAATCTAATCATGCCTCTGAGAGCAAGCAATTTTGATTATGATGAGTTGAAACATGTCGTCATTGTTGGAGATAAAGATTATATCAAGAAAGAATGGAAAAGTCTTTGCAACTTTCCAAGAATTATTATCTTAAATGTTAGAATAATTTAATAAACTTATAACCAATTGAATTTGCCATAATTTTTATGCACATGTTGAAATGTAAAAATAACCAAAACGTTTTAAGGGTTCTCCATTGAACCGTGCCAATTTGAGAGCTGTGAACGTCAACATGTGCGACATGTGCGTCATCTTGGCAGCACGAAATTCCAACACAGATGACAGCACGCTAGTCGACAAAGAAGCCATCCTCTGCAGCCTCAACATCAAAGCCATGACGTTCGATGAAACAATAGGCCTGCTGCATTCAGTTGGTAAAGATGGTAGGTATAATTTTTACAAACATTCAAAAAATATTTAAAGTATTTTCACACGTTACTAACTTTCGTTTATTGTCCAGTTGTGGAAACATTTTTATATAGAAGTATAACACTGCTAATCTACATTTGAAGGATACCTACCAAGCGGAAACACAATAATTGAAGCAAACAGCTGCGCGCGCAAGTTGGGCGTGTCGTCTGGCATCGACATTCCAATGATTACAGAACTAGGAAACGATGCCAACGTACAGTTTTTGGACCAAGATGACGAAGACGACCCTGGAACGCCTCTTTACATGACCCAACCCTTTGCTTGCGGGACCGCCTTTGCCGTCAGTGTGCTCGATTCGCTCATGAGCACGGTTTGCGAAATAGTTTTACCCGAACACCTCATCTTAATGTTTCAAAGCTAATTATTATGAAACGTTTAAAAATTTTATTTGCAAAAATACATTTCTACTAAATTATTGAAATAGGAATGATTAATATTTTTAGACGTTTTACAAAACTAACAGACATATTTTAACGACAACGCCCTTACTCTTATACGAACGTTGATAACTGGGGGAGCAACTCCAGAATTGGAGCACATTTTGGCGGAAGGCATTGGAATGAGAGGTGGGTATGAAACCGCAGAGTCTTCACTTCTACGTAACAGGTGTCGAATGGCACAGCTACCACTTGACGAAACATCTTATTCGGCAATTTTTGGGTTAGTTCATAACATAAATATTTATTTTTATAATACGAAGTAAAAAATTATTTGGATTTGTTAAACTAAGTTTTTGTTCTGGAAGTTTTTAGGAAAATTTTTTGGATGAACACCATAAACTCAATTTTTAACAACAAATAAGTTATTTATATAAGGCATGGCATCAATTGATGAAGCAGTTAATTCTAATATTTGTGAACTTTTCAAGGATGGAAGAACTTATTGTGAGATGTTTGTGGTACCCCTTAAAACGGATGGGGATATATGCTTTCGACTCTTTCAGACTCGGAGACACCACGACCAAGAAAAAGGAAGCTCCAATTTAGAAACCTTCGACCAAACGTTACGTCTTCACAAACCCACCAAGCGACTTTATTTTACTGCCCTCTGACAAAGTAATTATTCTTTATTATGAAAGTTTGCTTAAACATTTTGAAACATTCTTGAGTAGCTTCGTTTTTTATGTTGAACAGCTATTCACATGATTTGAGTTGAGACAAACGGTTTTTCATAAAATTTTGTTTCATTAATCGGCTTAATCAATGTGTGGCATTCTTTCATGGATTTAAAATGCAATGTTGAAAAGCCTCTTTTGTGTAACGGCGACGCTGGCTTCATAGAAAATACTTGTATCAAATCATTGGAAATATATTAATTTGACATTTTTTCTTCATCTGCCTGAGTGAACATGTTTTTTAAAACGTCACACGTTTCGCTATATGCGTGCTCTTGTAGTTTTAAGACCTTAAAATACAAAAAAATGCTTCCTTTGCACGTTGGCAACTGCTATTTGAACTAAACTTCTGGTAATCCAAGGCGGCAGATGAAGTTTTTAACATAATTTATTGACTTATATTTCAAATGTTTAAAACTGAAACTCCAAATAATTTCAGGTATTCTGTTTGCGACCCTTTGAAATAGTGGAAAAAACAAAAAGAAAACGAAAAGCAAAAACAAAACAAATACATTCATCTAGTTTGTACGAAGCAGGATATTGAAATTGGCCAACAATAGTGAATTTATCATCAAATTGCCCATTGTTTCAAACCATCTTTCCTCATTTTGGAGCTGATTAGGTTGTTTTGAAGCCAAGTTAAATAATAAACTGTATACAAATCATAATTATATTGACCTTAGCTAAACAATATATTCAATACATGCCAATCTATGATGTGTATATTAATATATACTGTACTGTACAATATATTACAAAACTCAACAACTTAACCGATGTGATAACACTGTGTGTGTAAAATCAATTGTTTTGAAATTATTTTTTTAAACTGTTTCCACATTAATTTAGTTTTGCAACGACTGTAGTGCTAAAAAATAGCAAAATTAATAACTTATTGTGGTCGTGGTTCAACGCGAAATTGTGCTCAAGTAGTGAAGAGATCAGAAATTGATGAAGATCATAATTCATCGAAATGTTTGTCAATCACAATAGTCACTAAGAAGATCGAACAAGAGATTATTTATTTATTTATTTATTAAGAGATTAATCATTTACATTTTACAATGAGATGAAAATTTATTTATTTATATATTCATTACAATGAGGTGACGTTCAAATATATTTCCATGTAGCTTTTTATAAATTTTTTTACACTTTAGTTTTCATAATTCTTAGTACATTTATTCTTCTATAGTTCTATACAAACAGATCTTTTTCATTGCAGATATAACTTCTCAAGCATGAGATTTAAATTTACGAAATAAATTATTCAGGAGGATTTATTTTACTCTGGTTGTTTTATTACATGATGTCTTTATATTTAATTAATGTGAATACATATATTAAGTTTTATTAGTGCACATTCTTCTCAAACGTTCAGTTCTGTTGATGACAATATTAATAATAATCAGCATTCCTTGTTATGACAAGACTTGAAAACAGTTTTATTTTGTAGTGTATTCGCCTGAAATTAATGTTTACAAACTTTCGTTAATAGTGTTATAAAATGTGTCGTCTCTAGTCATAAAAAATTTTATTTTAATAAAAATGTGGCTCAAAACCTGTCTTAAATTTTATACGGATTTTTTAATGATGGATAGAAACAAAGTGAAAATATAAACTAGGTATATGAAATATCAATTCGTCAAATGTTTAGAAACTTTGACAAATTCAATTTAATCGAAAATATAATAAGTTATTTAGAACTACTTTTGTTGCATTTTTATTTGCAAACTACCATTCCCATTTAATGTAATTCGTTAATAATTGTAATTCGTTATTTCAATTGGATTAATTAAGTCTGGCAGAAATTTACGTGGGATAAAAAGCAAATAAAAAATTGGAAATACCTTTTAAAGAGGAAAATAAAAAATTGAATTTATTGATTTTTTTCTGTTGATAAATTATATTAGCAATTATTATTAGCAATGCCTAGTATAGCATAAATTATACCAATGTTTTTCTAAACGGCAGTCTAGAACGCTAACGTAGCACTAACGATACCGTCACTAACGATTCGACATTAGATGTTGAGGACTATAAGAAAATTTTTACATATTGATGTACAACATAAGGTAGGCACGGTTCGCCTAGCTGGCCCTGGTGTGGTTGTGAATCATGGATAAATTATATATGCGTTGAATATATTAATATTTTTTAAAATTTAGTTTTAAAAATCTTGAAAATTATAATAATTTATTCACGAACATTGAACAAAAATAGTGGTTTGCAAATAAAAATCCAACAAAAGTATTTCCGAAAAATTTTTACTAAAAATCTCCAAAAATTTGAAATCTATAAAAAAAAATTATTACAGACGCAAAATTTTATAGTAAATTAGTAAAAGTAGTTTAAACAAAATGTATATCTTATTTTAAAATAATTTATGATTTAAAAAAAACACTATTAACTGTCATTTTATTTTAGGATGGGCAAACCGGTTTTTTACGTTGGGCAATTGCCCCCCGGCTACGACCCTGAATCCAGTAAACAAAACGGAATTCGAAAAAAAAACAAGTTTGAAGCATGGATTGGATATATATAACATGGATATTACATGGATATTATATCCATGGTTTGAAGTCCAACACATACTACGATAAATTTTTTATCATTATCTGAGGCTCCCAGCCATTCTTCTTTGAGGAGACCTGCACTAACAAAAATGAAAACGGCAGTCTAGAACGCTAACGTAGCACTAACGATACCGTCAAATTCAAGTATCTAGCGGCGTTCTGGGAGGCTACCATTTTCCCTGCCCCTCAAGCCATACTTCTTTGGGAGGAATAGCGCTTACAAAAATTGATGCGGCACTAAAGAGCCTCAACGTAGCACTAACGATACTACAAATGTCTAAACTAGCGGCATTTTGGAAGTACTATTTCTCCAGCCCCCAGTTATTGCAGAAACAATATTGCGAATCTCAAGACTCCAGTGGTATTTGGGAGGCTGAGAAAATAGGCTTTGTCTATGCCGCTTTTACTCGTAACTAAAGGATAAAAAAGAATAATTTCAGTTTGAAATTTCATGTCTAAGCGTGAAAATGAATATTTAATCAAATACCGCAACTACATAGCACAATTTTCTTAGAGTTTATCGGTGCATCTAAACGCTCTATAAACCAAGCGTTTATTGAAGTGTCGTCCATTTTAGCGTATGACGAAGATCTTTACACCCAAACCAGACATGGGATATCACAACAAAGTAAGGCATCAAGTTGATGCATGTACCGGTACCGGCATTTGAGTTCTATAACGGATGAAAAATGAGAAATTATTTTATAATTTGTTTGAGTTGGCATCCTTGAGTCTGCAAATCGAACGACAAGTCGCATTTGTTCTCGTTTAATATGACAAATTGTTACAAGCTCGTTTTTTCGGTAATGCGATATATTATTGTGTAAAAAATAATTAATTTGTTAAGTTTAATTAATTTGTTCACAACTTGTTTAGAGCTAAAGATCAACGTGACCTCCCAGTAATGATGAAAGCTGGGGGACGAACAATAGTGATAGTGTGAATGATTTTAAAAAAAAGTTGGATACTTATCTTATGAATGCCAGATTTATGTATGATTGGAGGGCAAATGATACTTGATGTGACATTGGCTATTTGTGAGATTAGGATATATTCAAATATTTTTTATCAGTATGTATCCATATTATCGTCAATTTATTGATTAGGATATGTGATTAATTTATTTACATTTGTTTTTTTATTATCTTTTTTATCTTACAAGGTTTAATACATTATTTGACTTACAAGGACATTAATTATTTTAAATTTATTCAGTATAGACTCATAGGTTTATTTAATTTATTGTTTTAAAATTGTCGTAGTTTTGAGAAGGCACAGGGACGTTTCGTCTTCGCCTTTGTTTAACGTAATAATAATAATTTGAACATATCATTGAAAAATAGAAACAAACATTATGAAAAATTCATTGATGAACCCAGTCATATTCGTAAACGCAATAAACATAAATATAAACAATAATTCACTGTAAACGTTTGAGGTTAAAAAAAAACGTCAGCCCCATTCTTCAGTCTGTATATCTTGAACATTATATGGAAGTATTGAATGAGGTAAAACACAGCCTGGGGCAAATATTTCCGGAAGTTTGTAATTAGGAAAACCATCAGGTAAGCTATTTTTGTAGTTTTCCTCTTCCGTTGGATGATTTTTATTTAACCATTCCTTGACAACTGCTTCAACATTCATATTTTGCAGGACTTGATTTTTCCTATCATTTAGAGTGTTAGTGACCATGACGAAGTTATTAAGATATTCTATGTCATTTGATGTCAAATGTGAATATTTACAGACTTCACCAAATCTACATACACCATCTTGTTGAAATTTATGGCACGGTTTCTTTGAAAAATTTTCCATTAAAATTATTTTCGGATCTTTAAATTGGTCGTAATGATTTTGCTTTGCAATCTTGTGCTGCACGCCACTCAAATGGTTCTTCCGATTGGTTGGATTATCAGCAAAAGATTTATCACAGTAATCACAGTAATAACGCTTTCTTGGCATTCTGACAATTTTTCACAACGTTTTGTAGATTTTATATTGATTAACAATAATTGAAGTCCTGTAAAATCCTATTTCAAAAATAAATTAGCGTAAATGATTTAATGTAACTGCAACTGTGCATTAAAAATTTAAATTAGTGAAAATCAATTGAATATAATACAACATCTGTAGAATAGGTATCACATTGGTTCAAAAAAATAATGAAATAAGAGGCCGTCCATAAAAGATGTCACGCTTGAAGGGGGGGAGGGGATCCAAATATTTGTGGCACTTTGTGACTAGGGGGTGGGGGGGGTAAACGCAAGTGTGACGTCTCTTTTTTTAAATAAACAAAACAATAAATAAATTTTCCTTCATATATAGGTATGAATATTAAAGTTTTCCAGAGAGCAAATAGCTCATTAAAGGAGGAGTCAATAAAATATTTGATATCAATAAAAGATAAAATGCATTGAACAATTACATTGTTTAATGACTCTTCACTAAAAGTGGGGGGCTAAAGTTTTATGACATGCTTATTTTTGGGGGTTTGGTAGATTTGTGACAGTTTGTGAAACAGGGGAGGGGTATCAAAAAAACGTTAAAAAAGCGTGACATCCTTTATGGACAGCCCCTAAATAAAATTAGGTGTAGTAGAAAGTGTGATAAATTAAGAAAAGTAGAAAGGCTTGGTAGTTCGATTCACTAAATTTTAATGAAACAGACATCAAAAATTTTTATTTTGTTCCTACTAATGGCACAGCGGTTTTTGAGACATTTGTTAAAAATGAGTTTTACAAAAAAATTTAATGTTAATATAATAATTATAATATATATATAAGTATAATAGAAAAAGTGAAACTAGATAATAAATCCCTTTCATAAATTTTTTGAATTAACAAAAATTAATAAAATATTGTAAAGTAATGTGAATGCCAAAACAAGATAACTTCACCTATGAATTGTTATTATTGGACAAATAATTGCTTTGCTTTCAAAAATGCTCCTGAAAGCGTCAACAAAATGTGAACAAAAATGAGATGATAGGCTTTAATAATCTGGATGTTCGCTAGTCAAATTTTGTAAATTAATTCATCTGAGCAAGTCTTTATTTATATCTTGTATTTTATAATTATTATTTTCCTGAGAATTACACACCAGTAAATTTTCTCTACAAATCCTATGAATTCAAAGTCAAAACGTTTATTTTACAGAACCATTTGAACACTTTTTAAAATTTAAATAATCACTTTTTTTTAAAATGTAAGTAGCCCCCAAAAAACAAAATTTACAACTCTATTTCTATTACTTGTTATTTATACACTTTGGGTCTTATAAAATTTATATTTAATTATAAATTTATAAAATCTTTTTTCTAAGCTGCAAAATAGTCAATTCAATTAATTAAATATATAAAAAATTATTTATAATTTACATTTATAATATTATAATATACTTAAGGAAGCGTAACAATTTGTACGTTTTATTTCTCAATAATTCTAAAATTAAAATAAAATTTAGTAATTTTGTTTCTCTGAAATTCGTCCATCATTTTCGGCATTTATGATTATGCAGATTATGACTAATTTAATTTTTTGCCGAAAATCACTTGTCTCTTGATAAACTGATGCGGGTGTGGTTGGAAAGGAGTTAAGAAATGAAGAGTAAGGTCTTACCGCTAAAAAACACAAAAATAACCCTCCTCACACTTTTTTTATTGTTTATTTGTTGCCAATTTTCGTCGCTTCACCACAAATGGGCTATCTTCACGCCTATTTCTTTCCTTTCTGATTTTGTGATTTTATACCTGGATATCGTTGATCTTATTTGTATTATTTACTTGTATTATTATTTGTTATTTTATTGACATTTCGCTTTTCAGCTGTCTGTGAAAAGATGCTAAATAGACAAAGAAAACAAGTTTAAAAGTAAACCACAAGAGGGTTGTGAAGTGTATCCGATAGCTTAACGCAATATGCTAATTACCCCTTAACTGCACGTGCAAATAACCTCATGTTAAACAATATGCTAATTGCCCTTTAGCAACACTATGCTAATTACCTCTTAATGCAATAAGCTAATTTCTAAAAAAATGTTTTTTTTTCATTTAAAATGCAACGGCATATTTATTTATGTGTAAATATCCACAAAAATATTGAGTTTTGTGGACACCAGTTATGAGCTTGTTTGCTGTCATTCAGCCATTAACGGATTCAACTGCTGACAAACAATAGATGATAAATTGTGTTGGGAATCTAGGGATCAAAAGTCATACATCTGGATACCATTCACAAACAGATTTGGTCAGATGTAGTAGTCAGATTTAGATTCGCATACTATCTCCACTCTTCATTTTTTTAACATCCTTCTTCCAAGCGCACCACATCAGTCTTTCAAGAGTCACCTTTTCACTAAAAAGATATCTCTCGATAAACTTGTGCTTTCGCCCCGGTTGCTGGGAATCATAACCATTTTTTGGCATTTTGAGCATTGTAAAGGATTTCGGATATATTCTTTAATTTTTAAAGGGTATTTATGTTTGAATACATTATAATTTATGCAACCTTTTAGTATGTGTTGAATTGATAGTCTAGTTTTACATTGATCACAAATTGTTTGTGTTTTTTCCAGAATCCATTGGTTTGTCATTTTTGTGTGCCAAATTTTTAACCTGTTCAATTTAACATTGAAATTTCTATTGAACCTAGTAATTTTTCTTTTCTCATTAATTTTTTATTTGGGATTATTAGTTTCAAAATTTACTGTATAATAAATTTAAATAATGACTGCAATAATCATTTTAAATTTTTAGAATTTAAAATAAAACAAAAATGTCTATTTATTTATTATTATCGTGACTTCATTTTTACATCATGACGTCAAAATTCTGAAAAAAACCTAAAATTCAACGCTGTTTATGTTTTACAAGAAATTTAAAAGTGAGCTCAACTAAGAGTTGCTTAGATCTTGTTTACGCTAGTGCTCGGCGTATTCGGCAACTGCTTTTTGCGTTTGAGTTGGTCATCAAATAAATAGCTAATTGATTGGTTGTTTGATTGATTGAGTGACGGATTGATTCATGATACGCCAATGAAGTCAACCACAATCAGTTCAGTTTACGTCAGTGCATCTTGCAACTCATTCCCAAATTGTTGCGATATTAGCGATGACAATGTTGTTTGCTACGGCTCGTGTAATTCGTTGGTTCTATTCAAACTGCTGGTAGGTCAATTTTAAAAAATGTATTTCATCCATCCAATTATTTTATTCATTCAATAATTCATTCATTCCATAAAAAACTTAACTTGAGAATTGAGAGATTTAATGTTAATCATTTAATCTTAATGAAAGTTTAAAAAAAAAATAAAATAAGTTAATTAAATTATATTAATTATATTATATTAAAAAGAAAGAAAGAGTAAATAAGTATTTTTGTTCTGCGAGTGAGCACGGTCAATCAATAATTAAATCAATAATAATACAACGTTGATTGCCATTTATTTATATTTCTGTGATTTTTTCAGTGTGACTTTTTCTGTGATCTTTTCAAAAAATTTAAATGAAATGAATACAACTGTTCGTCTAATTGGCACAAAAAGTTTATGACAAAGAAAACAATGTCCTACCTTGGGGAACCGGGTTTCTGAATGCAAAACGAAGATTGATTGATTTTTTTCAGTGTGTGCCTACCCATGGGCCTGACACATGTGTAGTCTTTAATTTCAATACCTTCAAAGATTGAAGGGGTTGTAAAGCATAATGGATACAGGACAAACTTGAAAAAAATCAAAGTAATTTGAAGTGAGAGTCAATGTGAAGAGAACAAGAGTAAAACTAAAATGAAGTTAACAACAATCTACACTATACTCGCAATAGGTCTCTTACCTTGTAACTGTGATTTCTGAAGATGTCAGTTGCTCTCAGGATATCAAATGAATGATAGCAATGAAAAAAATAAGCGTTTTACAAAAGTAAAATTACTGGGTCGTTCCATATAGCAATGTGTTGATTTAACCGAATCCCCTATGTATAAAACTGCATATAAGCTTTACTGTTGACACTGTTATGAGATATTGTTTCAATGATTTGATTTTTGGTATCAAGTAGAAGCATGATCAACAGAGATGCCCAACTTGTTTCTCTATTGAGAGCATGAGATTCATAATCACATCTGGATCAGATAAAGGTTTTTTGAAATTTAATAGTACTGCGAGTTTTGTGAAGTACTGAGAGTTCTGTTTACATTCAGCCTCGGCTTGTATCTCGGTATACAATGTCATAATAATTGGTAAACCTTACTTAGAATAAAAACATTGATTGTTAGGATTGGATTAACTAGTAGTCAAATGTCTGGGGCCTGTTATTTATTTGGAGGAGCTCTCCAATTTTTGTCACAAATTTAAATTTTCATTTTTTTTATATTGACATTTGAGTTAATGTGCTTTTTTCAAAAGCCTTTATCTTTTTACATCTTCTATTTGCACAATGTAACTTTCAAGAAGAAATGAACAAAATAGCAACAGCATTTTGTAGATGTTTCACACAAACCAACCATTCATAAGCCTTTCAATTTGATAGACATCTTTTGAAGCAATATATATTTACAATATTCTATAAATTTTATCAAATGTTTGGCGTTAATAAGATGTAGTTCGTTTTTTCAATTTTGAAAATTAATTTTTAAAATTGAAAAAACGAACTACAAACATATTAACGCCAAACATTCGGTAGAATTTATAGAATATTTTAAAAATTATGGTCTATTACCAACATGTATATATATATATATATATATATATATATATATATATATATATATATATATAACGTTAAAAACATAGTTTGTTAAGTTTGTCAAAATGCTTGAAAGATTATATTAAAATGTGAATAAAATGCAACGAAACAGAAATAAAATTTCTGAAGGATTAAACCAGCACTGTTGGTGATAATTTTTGTAGCACATACTTTTCTTTGGGTAAATGTATTGATTTTTAATAAAAACATTAACAAATGTTAAGCTTCAGAGCCAATTATGTATGTCCACTGTCTATTCTCCATTCATACTTGCATTTTGCATTCCTGAGAAGTTCTTCAATTTGCTTTTCAAAATTATTCACATCTATCCATTTACATATCTCCTGGTAGCAAATTCCATACCGCTACAAACCTGCAACTAAAAACATTATCCATTATAATTTTTGAAGTCAGGTCTTTTTAATTTGTGCTGCAACATCTGACGTGTTTATCCTGGCATTATTTGGTTCAACGTTTATATTTCATTTTAATTTTCAATGTGTGTTTCCGTTATTAACATTCAAGAATAAAGAGGATGTAAAGATTACGCTTTCTGGTCATTCTGATAAAGTTAACAATGTTAAATGGATAAATTTACCAGGTTTACATTTGTTTTCTTCATTTTTATTTATATCTTAATAACATTAAAGCCCATGTTTTAACCTATGCATGAAAATATTTCAATTTATTTAGTTTTTACAAAAGACATTCTCTTCTAGGTTCAAAGCCATTAATTGTCTCATCCTCATTGGACAAATGTTTGGCACTGTGGAAACCGGCTGAGAATAATGTAACGTTATTAATTTATTATCGAATCTCCATATTTCCTAATCGATTTCTTTGTTTCATTTTTGAAATTAATAGTACTAAATTTATATGGAAATTCCATAAAAATAACAAAAGAACTATTGTTGTCTTTGTCTTACTTATAAATTGTTATAAATAAATGTTTGTTCTTACTGATTATGAATTCTCCAATGTTTTTTGTAATTAAATTTTTTAAGTCCTTTGATTTGTCATGCACCAAGAAGCTTGAATATTTTTTCTGACTGCATTCTTTAATCTCTTCATAATCACAAACAATGTTATCGAGTTGGTTCAATCCATTTGCATTTTCGGTTTCTGTTTTTTTGCCACCTGAATGTAGTGTGCTGAGGATTGCAGTGCAATGTTTTCAAGGATCGTTGTCTTGCCTACATTTATAGCAATTTTAAATTTGGTTTTCAGCATTTGTAATTTTTAAAATCCACTTTCTCTTACTACCTTTCAAAGTCAAATTTGTTGTCCTCTTCTTACAATACCTACCCACAGTGTGTTTGCTTGTTCTTTTTTCTTTAGATTTCATATTTCAACAGCCTGTGATGTTGAAATTAAACATTTGCTCTGGGTAAATGTTTTCAGACCATTTTTCATAATTTATTTCATATTTCATATTATTAAATTCATTTTTTAGAATTATAAGTTGGAGTTGAAGATGGTTTGTCATGATGGTCCGATAACTTGCATGGATTTGTTGAATATTTCGGAGAACCTCGTCTACATTGTCACCACATCAGCAGATTGCACCACAAAGATTTGGAAAATGAATTTAAATGCAGAAGATTCTCATATAAGTACGTGAAATAACTTTTTTCAAAATATTTTTTTTATTCATGGTTATTGAATTAAAAATTTTTTAATGGAAGCCATTGAGCAGTTAACTACAATACAGTTGAAAAATCAGTTAGTGTTATCACTGGCTATTTGCAAATTGCCCACAACATCTGGTCAGTTTATTTTTTTAGATAACTTTAAATGATCCTATTCACGAAAAATTAAACAGAACCGTTAATTTTTTACTTCATTATTCATTTATAAAGAGGTTTTATTGGCGTTCGGTGTAGAGGATCTAAAGATTCATTTGTTCATCGAGAATGAAAATAAGGTGTGTTATTCTTCTAGATTTTCTTGTTTATAATTTTTAAAAACTTTCATCTAGTTTTTTAATAATTTTTTGCTTGTTCGTTCCTTGTTTTTATTTGTTTTTTTATGTATCACACTAAGTAATAAACCAATAAGCCTCTTCAGCAAGTCAAACTTTTCTGCATCTATTTTCGGCCCATTGTCCCCTACCTGGTTTGGTCCTACATATCGACTTGAAAAATCCTGCATTGTGAGACAAATTTTATCAATTTCTGATGTGCTAACTTTAAATTTTTCATGTTCGTCGTTTTTGTTTTAAGCTCATTTCTTGTTGTTTTGTTTTTTTGCGTTTGTTATGCTATGCCCATTATTTGATTTTTACAAATTTTGACATTTTTTCGTTCTCACTTATTTTTTTCTCCTGGATCATATTTCCTTGTAATGTCTTCCAGACCAGCGTTGTCTTTACCGATTTTAGCGTTCCAATCCCCAACAACAATCTTGACATCTCTTTTGGTAATTCTTTTATTATGTTTCCATAAAATAATGCGACCTGTTCAACTGAGTGATTTTCTGCTGAGGCATAAGTTATACAACATCGAGATAACTTGCATATCCTTTAAACTTGTGTTAGTTATTTTTAACTCCAAGTATCAAACTCAATGTACATGATCATGGAATCATTTTTCGTTTTTTAATTCTCCAATTTCTGCCTATCGAAAAATTCAGTTCCATCATTTTTTGTTTTTCCTTCATCGATTCGCACGCTCCTGTCTACCAAATTTTAAATTCCAACGGTGAATTCATCTTCATTCTGATCATTTGAGACTCATCGACAGATTTGCTGCTCTATTTACTGGCCTCCAAAGCACCAGCACTGACTTTATACAAAATAAATGGTCAGTGTAATTTAATGAAAATGGAAAAGCCAATAAATAAATAAACAATTGAAATGATAATTTATTTTATATTTTTTTAATTTATTTTATATTTTTTAAAACCAAATAATAAAATAACCGAAAGCAATTCAAGATACGTTGGTCGTGACTTCATGTTGCTGATTAATTTATTTTCATGTGGCTTGCCTATTTTCTTATTTCATTAAACTGAGTTTAAAGACTTTGCTTTTATTGAAAAAAATGCTTAAGTGCCACTGCATTGTTTATTGAAGAAGTTTGATGCTCATGTTTGAATGATGTTTTCTTGCAGTTTGAAGAAGTGATGGTGCTGAGGGGGCACACCGAATGGATTAATGGACTTGAGTTTGTTCAACAAGGTTTTTTTCATTTTGAGTTTTGTTTGTCAATTTCCAAACATTTGCTAGATCTGTTATAATACCTGTAACAGTAATATTGGACTAAAATACTTTGTCACTTTTTCACTCTACTCAGACGAAAGAAATATCTTCTTAGCCAGCGGAAGCCAAGATTCTTATATCAGAATATGGAGAATTGAAAGTTTAGACCATAAAGCTGCAAGTGTTGATGACAATACCAACAGTGAAAATGCTTCTAACGACAATGGCAATAACGAAAATGATTGCATCACCTTAACAAGCAACATAATTACATGTGATTCTCGCTCATATTTTTGACATGATGTTGTGCTCACGGTGTTTTTTTATTTTTGTCGCATTACATATGGTATCCACAGTCAAAAAGTTCAGTACTTCTTGTCAGCTTGTTCCATTGTTAATCGTTGTAAATTTCCATACCGAGTTTTATATTTTAGATATCTTGAAGAGCGATTAATTTTTTGTTACACAGCTTGCCAATCTGCACTCAGGTTCGCAGTGACGCTGGAATCTGTGCTGTCAGGTCATGAAAACTGGATATACAGTGTACACTGGAACAAATCAGGTTTTCATTTTATATATTTTGAAGTTTTTAAGTACTCGTATGAAAGTTTTGTTACAAACTGCAGATGGGAATTTGTTGTTTTTCAAATTGTATTATTTGTTTGAGCGATCTTCCCTTTCTTAGACTCACATTTATCTTCATGATTTTTTATTAAACAATTAATTTTTGTTAAAAGTCGAATGCTTGTATAAGTAGTTTTAAACATCCATACTCAGAGAAGAACGAATTGAGATTAATATCGTCATCTATGGATAAGACGATAATTGTATGGAAGGTCGATGTTTCAACAGGCCTTTGGATCGAAGAAGTAAGTTGATGCTTGAAGCCTGGTTGTTCACACATTTTCATTGAACACAAACTTCAAATTACTTCCTGATGGAAATTGTATTTAATTTGAAAAAAATTAAATAATGTTTGAAAGTTTACAACTGAGGACTTGATAATATATGGAAAGCCAGTTGTTGTTTGAGGGCTATTTGATGCATGTTGCTAGAAGGACAGTGTGTGACTACTTCTGCATGCAAATGAACAAAGTTCTCTCATTTCTATGTTTAAAAACACAGGTCCAGATAGAGTTGTGTAATGTATATTACGAAATCGAGAGTAAATAAATGTTCCAGTGTAAACAGCCACAGCCCAATTTTTTAGGCAGCACTTGAAGCGTTTTATGATTCCATTTTATCACAAACCAGTTTTTTTATCAGTCAATGGATCAGTAATAACAGAGGATGAAGAAAGTTTCTGAAAGTGTGAACAATCTTTAAACAACCGATTATCATCAATTTTTTAGCTGGATCACTAATCACATGTTAGAATATAAACTGCCGAAATAAATTTTTCCACCACATCTTTTTCAACGGTTAGATCAAGAAGTTTTGTTGGTGTTGCTATGGAAATCATCTGGCTCGCTCACACTAACAAAATTTGACTGACTACATGAATTTACCAAAATAATTTTATCGTTTGATGAGGTTACAGACAATGACTTCAGCCTTCAATCAGCCTTCTATTTTTTAACTATTACATTATTGGATCGCAATCCCAATGACCTGCAGATCTTTATAATAAATTTTTCGAATCGTGGAAATCGTTTGCTCTGCTCTGATGACACCTAAGAAATTTAACTAAATGTCCACATCAGTGTTTTGGAAATGAGGAATTTGTATAGTTCACCAATCTTGTTCTGGCTGGCATACCTCATGAGGAAACGTTCAATTCAAATTATTGTATCGTTCCTCTATTTACCTTACATTGTAATGTATTTTTTAATTTAATTAAAGTTCAGTTATATATATTTTTTATGAAAAAGGCGCTAAATAAATCTCCCTATATATATATATATATATATATATAATAAGATAAAATAAAATAATTTTAAATAATATATATATATATATATTATTAGGTAGATTCATATAGCGTCCTTTATATTGTATATATATATATATATATATACAATACACACATATATATATTATATATATGTGTGTATATATATATAATATATAACAATAAATTATTATAAATTATAATAAAGATTCGATTAGGAGAGATTGGTGGTAGTAATTTGGGGTTTTATGGTGCTCGAATGACCCGCTCTGGTGGGAGGCACATACTTGGGCATGGCTTCAGAGGATCCTTCCACCTCTGGTCTCCTTCCCACGTTAGTCCCATCATCATTTTTAGAAGATCACTTCACACGCATTATATGTAAAAACGATTCTTCATTTATATAATTAGCACTTGAATTAATTGACAACATTTATACCACAAGATGTAGCATAATTAGTCGTTACTAAATATATGTTGATAGTTGGCAAACTTCGATTCTCACTAATTTATTAAGTGCACATGTACATACTGAAGTTTTTTCGGAAATCATTTTAAATGTTTTAAAACTAAATTAGACTATAAAATGAAGAGCTGATCAAAGACATGGCGTCTCGAGGCGACTTGGCCTTGTCTCGTTTTAAGACAATTTCAGTCTTGGTCTTTCTTTTTCAGCGTCTTGTCTGAAATATTATTATTGATTTTCCTTTTTTTCAATTTATTTTTATTTAATTATGAATGCTATATTATTTTGTTTTATATTTTTATGTTTGGGAGAAAAGTTTTTCAGAATAATTTATATTGGTTTTTTTTCATAAACTTTGACACCTCGCCTTGAACTCTCAATGTTTTTTTCTTGCATTCTCTTGTCACAGCCCTGATGCTAATTTAGGGTAAAACTATTTTTTTACGATTCTCTCTAAGTTTAAGAAATTTAAAGTTGTCTAGGTACCTTCGAAATGTTTGTCATTTCCAAGTTGTTTGAAATTTACTGGGGGTCTAAGAAATTTTTCTAAATTTGTTTTAGTGATTTTGCAGGATTATATGAAGGGGTTGTCCAGATTACCATATTTACATTTAAAACCCTGTTTATTCATAGTTAAACGTTTAAAATGATCCAGAAATTTAATTATTTTCGTATCTAGGCTCATTCATTGTCAACGGATCTTATATTTATAAACTTTGCAGGTTTTAGGTTCTTCTGTTGAAATCATGCAACCTTCAATGATATGTGGCGGTCATTTCTCGTCAGTGAATGATTTATGCTGGAACAAACATGGTGAGTATCTACTGACGGTCAGCAACGACCAAACTACGAGACTGCATGCCAAGTGGAATGATAAGGTGGGAGTCAACGGAGTTGGTCTGGATCGGGGTGTATGTTCTTGTACATTGTATAACTGATTGTTCAATTCTTTGGCTTGTGTTTTTTTAAATTAATATGCCAATTTTTTTTATAATTTTTTGAAATAAAGATTTGGTGTGAAATGGCTCGTCCACAAGTTCACGGTTACGATCTTCGATGTCTTTGCTCAATTGATCGGTTGGTCTTACTGTTTTTTTTTCATTATGACTTTTTTATGTTTTTTATGCTATGTCGTTTATAACCGCATACATTTTATTTTCTCTTTATGAAAAATATTTCACATGCACAAAATGTTAGAAACCTAATTTTTGTAAGCGTTTTTTCAAAAAAGTTAAACTCTCAATTGATTTAAACGTTTGATTAGCAAATGTCAGTCGGTCAGTCAGTCAGTCGGTCGGTCGGTTGGTTAGTTGGTAAAACTTTTGATAAACAAAATATGGCTTTGAGGAAATGTTACTAATTCATGGTTAGACATAATTTCCAACAAATATAGTCCATTTTCGTGAATTATTTGTGCACGTGTCTACGTTTGTTTAATTTTTATTATATTTCAGCATGCGTAAAAATGACAAGTATGTTTGTATAGTTCAATTACGTACAAATATCGTTAAAAAGGTTCCGATATGTGTCAGGAGCCGATGAGAAAATACTGAGAGTCTTCAATGCTCCGCACAACTTCCTTCTGAACTTTTCAACTCTCACAACTGCCGTTATTTCTAAAGAGGTTTTTTTATATCCTTCAATGTCATTATAATTTTTACAAATATATTTTTTAATTGGTTTAAATAAATTATCAATGTTGTAATTTAATCAAACAGGACTTATCCAGTACAAAGGTAGAGGGCGCTTGCGTTCCCGCTCTAGGTCTTTCAAATAAATCTGTTTTGCAGCATCAGATTCCTCCGCAAGAAAAACAGAAGACTAAACAAGACTATGAGAATTATTTTGTGCCTCAAATCTATCTAAGTAATTATTTATTTTAAATTTTTGTATTTAACATTTCTTAATAGAGTCTAGAAACTAGAGTCTTTTTCATGCACGTTTTTGAGATCATTACGAACATGAAAAATGTTCCGAATGACTTCGCATCAGTTCTGATTTGTTACAATCAACAACTGAAATATTTTAGATATTTTGGTTGGTTTTTCAAATCAATAAATATTTTCAAATTATGCGGTTGCGTTAGAAGAATTGATGTGATTTGATCCGAATGTAATGAAGGTGGTTGGGTGGTTGAAGGTGGTGGTTTTAATGAGACTCGATCAGTTAAGCTAAGTTGAAACGCGTTGAAATGGTGAAGGCCAGCTAGAGCAATGTGAATGTGCACCTTTACCAATACTCACATTTACGTTTTAGTTTCATTTGTCCCTACAATTTTTCTTAAAATCGTCGTGTGAAGAATAATTTTTTCAAGTGTTTATTTTATGGTATGCTTGCATGTGTATGCATTGTAAACAATTGTTAGGCCTATACATTGTGATGTATGAATCTGCCAGGTCCTCCAACCGAAGACAGTCTGATGCAGAACACACTATGGCCCGAAGAACAGAAACTGTATGGGCATGGGTATGAGATGTATGCTGTCGATTGCTCACCCGATGGGAAAGTTGTTGCGTCTGCATGCAAAGTAAAAACTACATCTTGTCTCAATTTCAATTGTTTTTCTATCCACTGGCTGCTTTTGTTGAATTGTTTCACATGTGTTTTTTAAATGTATATTTATCTCAAATTCAAAATACGTTTTGCAACGTCGTAGAAACGAGTTGGCTACAAGCCGCCGCCGTCCAGTTCCGAGCAGTTTTGCGAAGGAGTCAAGCGAGGGCTCTGCCTGTTTCAGACCGACGACATTTTGTTAAATTGAATGTGCATAGCTCATGCAGTGCTAAAACTAATGGAATTTATATTAGGCACTGCACGAGCTTGGTTCAATTTGAATAAATCTCAATAAAAATCCATTTATTCAAGTTTAGTAATTCACTCATTCGATAAACTCTAGTGATGATATTGAATTAGTTAGTTAAAGGAATATGCATGGATATTTACGTTACGACTTTACGACCAGTTAACTTTTTAAGATGAAGAAATGAAGAACTTGAAGAATTGCTGGAATTAGATTCATGTCAGAGACGCGATAAACTCGGTATGCTTAAAAAATAATAAATCTGGATAACGCACAAATTAAAGTCGAAAGATGAGGACGTTCGATTTGTGGTAACTGCTTCAACGCCAACAAAAAAGTGTAAGAACGTCGTCGCGTTGTATCGTTACTGATGACGAAAGATGAATTTTATGCGGTAATCTCCGGTCTAGAAGTCATGAAAATTTGTCCGCTACCGTCTCCGCGTCGACGTCAAGACGTCATATTTGCGAACTCTGTATTTGGAATTGTATATTATGAGCGAGATTCCAACGTTACCTAGATGCGAAAAATTAATCAACTTTTGGGTATGAATGCTACCGGAAGTATTGGAAATAGTTGGCATTTTTTTAAATAAAGGATTGTTTAAGAAAACTGGAACAATGTCGTAATTAATCTTATACAGCTTTTTGATGTCCACTTCCATATGTTGCTAGGCCAATGAATGCAATTTTAGCGTCTTCATCTTGGAGACTTTTGCGTGATTATAACATATGTCTTACTTTTTTCACTTCAACTTCTCAAACTAACCTGCTCTGGAAGTTTTCCACACCCGGATATCATACGGTTGTCTCACCTCAGCGATGGTTCAAATTTGATAAAAAGAATATGATGGGAGGAGATAAATGTTATATTGTTTTTCTGCTGCACTATCGATTCTTTTGTTCATCCGAAGTAACGTTTGCATGTACAGACTCAAATTTGTGCTATCTGAAAGAATTTTAATTAATCAAATTCGCTTTATAATAATGCATTAAGCAAAATTAATATTATTTTTTAATAATTGTAGTAAATTTATATCTATTTCAATGTTTAAAGACAAGCTGTTCAGTTTTGACCTACTATGGTTAATATTGACCGAAATGCTAAAATTAAAATTACTCAAATTTGTTATTAAAAGTGTCATTTTAAAAGAAACGGTATGGTTTCGTTTAGTTAACAAATCTTTTTGAAACTTTTCAAATGCCACCGTTCGATTTGTTTATATGCATGCAATACATGCAATCATACTGATTAATTTAATAAGCCAATTAAATTAATAATCAAATTAGTGAAAGATGTTGCTAAATCAACTCGAATGTTTTATTACATTATGAACGTCATGTTTAAGCCCTTGTTTCGCCGTTATATAATTATTGATATATATTATTGTTATTGTGAATTATTGTTCAACGCCTTGGTTGATGTAGGTTGTTTCGATTGTTTGTGACTACGATTAACAGTATTAAAAAAATTTGATTAAATCAATAAAAAGTTCAACAACGCTTGTCATAAAATAATTTTAATTGAAAGCAATGAGAGAAAGAAATTAAAATTTGGTAGATATTTTTTTCACTTTTTGAACTGGGATGTTTTAATATTGGACAGGCTGCGAAGTTGGAGCACGCGTGCATCATCATATGGGAGGCGGGGTCGTGGAGGCAGGTGTGCTCCTTACAACACCACACGTTAACTGTTACTCAGCTGGCTTTCAGTCACCAGGGTCAATTGTTGCTCTCCATTTCAAGGGATCGGACTTGGGCTCTCTACAGGCGGCATCATCCTGGTATGCATTTCAACACATTCCTTCAAAGAAGCTTCTAAATTTTAATTGCGTTATAAATTTAACAAAACTGGTGTTTATTTAAACGTGAAACTAATACAAATGTTGTATATATACATTTTAGAATTTGCTTGCTGTTACGAAATGCAAAATGTCTATTCACTTGCAAGTCATTTTATTACATACGCTTATAATTATCATCGTTCCTCCCGACATGCTGCATGCCGAATTACTTATGCCTTTGAAGACATTTTACAACGTGTTTTCACTGAGCACTGCGTTGAATGTACAAGATGTTCAAACCGATGAGTGCGCTCAACCTCTTCTGTGCTATTTCTTGCCTAATTGAACTTCGATGTTGTTCTTGCTTCATTTAAAGTGAAATTTGTTGATTTGTATATGATATCTATAATATCAATCATTAAAAATTCTTTGTTTTAGTTAGTCATAAGTTTGTCGGTTGTTCTTCTTTTTTGAAATGCTTTTGTAAAATTTTGAGAAGTTGTATGGTTCATTTGATACCGTTTCGATGCCCGTATGATGTTTTGGATTGCGGTTGAGTTATTTGTTTGCTTAGACTACAAAACAACTTCTGGGCAACCGCTAGACGTTGAGAATGGCGACTAGGTTTAAACGATGGACAGTCTTATTTAGTACATCATTTTATTGGGGCTTCTTGTTTGTTGATAAAATATTTTTTTCATTTGATTAACCACTTGCTAATTTTGCTCTTCCATTTTTTTCTCTCCAGTTCCACAAAGTAATTCAGTCATTTGTGTCACAATATGCAACTCTAAATGTTTTTATTAGTTTAGTTGAACACTAAAATGCAAAATTTCAGATTTAAAGTTCAGTAAAGTTTGTCACAGCACGAAAGAAATGAGCGTACAATCGCGAATCTTATGGGCATGTTGCTGGTCGCATGATGATCTGTACTTTGCCACTGGGTCCAGGGATAAATCGGTAAGGTTGCAAGTTATTTGGGTCATGTCGAGGCTGAGATTCTTCAATTATGCAGAATTTTAATTTATTAGAAACTGCAACGAAGAACAATTTGATTATTAATTTTTCAATTGAATGGTATAAAATTTTTTGATAAAATGAGCGCTGATCGGATGATCATTACAATATGAAGGTGGCCATGTGGAAAGTTGACGTGCAGTCTGATTTACAACCTCTCGATACAAATTTGGAAATAGACAATTGTAGTGGTGGCAGCAGCAGTTGCAACGGTACTAACGAAGCTAACTTGGAATTGAAGGTGAAGTGTACATTCTCTTCCATACTCCACCAAAATGATTCGGTCACCGCCATTGATATCGCTCATCAGCTCGTCTGCCAAAAGTTGGTTTTTCGCATTTTTTTGCTTTATTTGAATTAAGTGGCATTTTATTTAGTATACGTGTGTATATATATATATATATATATATATATATATATATGACATTTGACATTTTTTATTTCATCAAATCAAAACAAAGAAATCAAAGAAATTATATCAATGAAAGGAAATGATCTGGAAATGGAAAAGAAAATATGGTTTTCTTGTAATGATTACCAGTGACAATTGTAAAAATGAGAGCACATTTTAAATATTTTAGTGCATGTAAACTCACATTCATATTACAAATCCTAAAAAAACTAAAAACGGAATTAAAATTATTAAGTAATCAACTCTTTTACATTTTTATCAGAATGTCGTTTGTAATTATTAAAACACAAATATATATATAGACCCACGTAAAACATACTTATTCACACACACACACATATACACACACACACACGTATATATATGTGTGTGTGTGTGAGTGTGTGTGTGGTGGGGGGGTATATATATATGTGTGTGTATAAATATATGC